GGGTCTCAGTGTGACACTTTTCGAAACACAATTAATAGATGCATGATTTGCTACTAACCAGTCCATTCCCAATATAATATCAAAATGAGCTATGTCTAGAGGCATTAGATCTACTAACAATTCAACATTCTCAATCACGACAACACATGCTCTGTAAATGGATGCAACAATCATAGATCTCCCAGATGGAGTAGACACGGATAATACGAAATCAAGGGGGCTCTAATTCTTTACTAATTTTCCCGGCAAACATAGTAGATATAAACGAATGAGTAGAACCCGAATCAATCAACACATAAGCATCTTGGGAGCAAATTAGAAGAATACCTGACACTACTACCTCAGTATTCTGAGTGTCTCCTGGTACTAATGCAAACACCCTGCCCTGTCTCATCTGCCCTTTCCCAGCATTTCCCTTATGAACGGAACCCGAGGTATTCTCACCTTTCTTGTTGTTATCAGTCTTTGTCTTGGGGCAATCTCTCACATAATGGCCCATCTTGCCACATTCATAGCAGGCTCCAGACGTCCGGCGACAGATCCCGAAATGCTGCTTCCCACAATCCGAACACATCGGCTTAGCACTCCCTTCCTGTCTTAAGTCACTAGTATTGCCCATGTTCGTTCTCTTCTTGGTGCCCAGCTGTCCTCGGCGATTGTCATAGTTCTGCCTTTTTCGCTGGTTCTCTCCCGAGCTCTGGTATCGATTCAAATTAGCTTCGGCCTGAATGGCTTTGTCCAATACTTCGGCATAAGTCGGCATATCGAGCAAATTAACCCGGTCTTGAATCGGTCCACGAAGCCCACACTCGAACTTCCTGGCCTTCATATATTCATCGTTGGTCATGTGAGGTACAAACCTCACCAATTCAGTGAAAGCGCGGTCATATTCCGCCACTGTTCTGTTGCCTTGCGTCAGAGTATGAAATTCGGTAGCCTTGCGGTTTCGAACACTTAGGGGAAAATGTTTCTTGTAGAACAACTCTAAGAATCGGGTCCAGGTCAAATCTAGATTGCTCCCTCTAACCATCATCCACCACCTGCGAGCGTCATCATCTAATGTGAATGCTGCCAACGTCACTTTCTGAGTGTCGGTGCTAGGGAAGATCTCGAACAACTTCTCCATTTCTAAAACCCATGCCTCGGCCATCATCGACTCTATACCCCCAGAGAATCTCGGTGGTTTCATTTTCTTGAACTCCCGAATCAAAGCTATCGTGCCATCCCCATATAAGGCAGGCTGCGGGGGAACTTGCAGCACTGGAGGAGATGGAGGCGGGACTACATTTCGCCCGTTGGTCTGCTCGGCCTGAGTCGGCGCGGCACTGGCGAACTGTTGTCTTGTTTGCCTCAACTCGCGGGCCAAACCCTCAACTAATCTTTCCAGTCTATCCACTCTGTCTTCGGGCTGATCCCGGCCAAGTGGAGGTCTACCTCTCCTCATGATACTATGAGTATGCAAGGTACGACTTTAAAACAATTAAGCAAATAACCACATATAAGCTGTATCCCCACTTCACAATGATAAGCATATGAGCTCTATCTTCACTTCTCTAGACAAGCATATGAGCTGTGTCTACGGAGTTCATCCCCTATCTTCTCCCAACACTATCCGGTTTAGAGGTACATCCCCTATCTTACCCTAAACCGCGGAGTACATCCCCCACC